GAAAATTAAAAAGATTGAACACCCCAAACAAGAAATGGAACAAAAAAAATTTTTTTTTTTTTTTTTTTTTTTTTTTTTGCAAATTAAAATCTCAAAAGTGTGGCATGCCTCTGTGTCAGCTAAAACTAAAAATCTTCTTTGCAGAGGTAGCTCAAACTCAGTCAAATTGGCTGGAGAGCATCTGTGAACAGGATTTTTCAAGTATTGCTGCAGATTTTATGCAGAAATCTGCACTTAATGTGAAATAATGTGAAAAAAAAAGGACGAAAAAAAAGACTAAGGGTTGTGAATATTTTGTTGCGCCGAGCACAAAGGTGAACCTGTGGAGCTGCTTCATCATACAGTACACTGCGGCTCTGTATTGTTCCTATGAGGCATGTCACATACACTGCTGTATGCTGCTCAAATAACCACATGGGTTACAGTACAATGTACCTGGCAAAAGCCACAACATGCTCCACATCTTCTGCCCTCACAACTGCTCCTGCTGCTGCTTCACACGTCAGACGACAACAGAGCCAACAGATGGGTAACAAGATCAGGCACCCATTATTTTGCGAAGACGGTTGGAGCGAGACACAACCAAAACCCAGTTAAAATACGGGAACGCGAGCATCTGCCGATTTCCTTTCGCATCTGCTCAACGTACAGTGAAGCTGCAGTCTTGAGTTTACGTGCCACAGACGTTGTGGTTAGAAAGTCAGCAAGCAAAAGCAAAGTGAAAGTGCTTGGTGTCTGCGTGTCGGTGTGCACCGAGACGCCTCAGAACGGCAAGATTTAAACAAGATCATATTTGAAAAATACGGTTAAATATTCAGAAGCAGGAGCCACGCCTCCTCTCGCTGCATCTGGACCATGGCGTTACTGTGAGAGGAAGATGTCTCAGCTTTCAGACCGGAGCCGAGTCCTTCAATCCCCACGTCTTAACAATGCAGCTCACACTTAACGCTGCTCCCTCCGAGTGACTTGTTCCTTCAGAGTAAAAGATGCTGATGGGGAACAATGTGCCCGTTTTCACCGAGGTGTGACTGATACAAAGCTGGGGCCCGGATGTCTGCCCAGCTGCTTTCTGAGTCAGGTCCTGTCTGGGGTGACTCGCCTCCAAAACACACACAAACACACACACAATATCATGGTGAGACGTTATGGAGGATCCTGGGTCTTTCTGTTGGACACTGCTGGTTAAGAGTCTGAGGTCACGTTGTGTTCCCCCTGACAAATTAGTCGTTCTAAAAAGGAATCAGTGTCACACTGTTACCTAAAAACGACATGTAGGTCATGTGTCATCCACTCATCATTTGCTGGAAACTTGGCCCGAACGTTCGCAGGAATAATCTGATGAGGGAGCAGCTTGTGTGTACAAAAAAAGAAAGAGAGAGATACAAGGATAGGCATGGATCATTATGAGATTCTCAGCGTAGAATAATATGGAGTCAAATTCAAAATACTGTAATTACTCAGAAAAATAACATGAATGTTTGACAAGAGCTGGATGCTTTCATTTATAATGTATAAGAATTCCTCTTATTCCTGCTGAAACAACAGATTAATTACACCTATAATAATTGTACGTTTGCGTCTATTTAAAATGTGTCTGGTCACATAATAGCAAAACTTATATGTTTCATTAAGTAGCGCAACCTAATTCAGAGAAAACAGACGTATACATTTAATTCCTTTTATATGTTCAAAAAGGCGTGCAGTGAAGCAGCCACTCATTAAATTTCACCCCTTCAAGTTAAACTGTAGTTGTATCTGTATAATATAAAATCATGAAACAATTTTAGTTCTAACCGAGGAAATGAAAATGAAGCCTCGTCACAAAAACAAAGGCATAAATTAAAACAAAAACTCTTAACTACCATTACAGCCCCTCCAATCTGAAGGTTTTGCTTTTTACTGACACCACATCTTGCAGTGCAACTGAGATTATAGTGAGTCATTTTCAGGCTGTTTTTTTTTGTATTAAAATATCACAAACTGTTAAAAATAAAAAGCCAAGTAGCTTTGACATAAATTAGCTTTTCACCTAGCGGCTAAAGCCATGTGGCAGCTAGCTTAAAGTATTTTCTGGCACTTTGATTTTTTTTTTTTGTGTGTGTCACTGATTCTAGCTATTGGTCACAAAGGTTCAAACACAATAATTCTCAGCTTTTTACACAAATTATTGCTGCTTGCACAACATATTGCACGATTTAAATATGAAGTGCACTATATAAGGTCTGCCTCTGATTAAAATACATATTTGAAAATGTTCTTGAATTAAACCATATTGATAACCGGGACAACCAAACCTCTTAGAGCATTTGATTTTTACTTACTGTTTGCTACAACTAAAATGAAAATCACACCAAATTATACGCTTTAATTTAATGGCTTTCACATCAGTTTAACCCATTTGTCAGCAGAAACCTTGTTCTAGTCGTTCTCACTTAAAAATCCCTCAGAGTGTACGACCCCTCCGGATCACAGAATAACATCTGAATGCTTGAACAACTGAATTATATTAAAGTGACCCTCATCATAAAATATCAGCCATCTAGGAACCAAGATTTTTGAATCATTTGTCATGGAGATGGTCACTATTTTATTTTATTTTATTTATTTTTTTTTTGCTGTAACAAGCTTTTAATAAAGATAAAACTCCTTGCACAAGTTCCATTGATGACATTACATTAGGCACAATCTTTAATATCTGTTAATTGTATTTTTCCCCCTCTTTTATGTTTTGAATAAAATTTTCTCTTCAGATTTGTTTGCTTGTACTTTTGCACAGCTTCCATAAAAATATCAGATCAGAACCAGAACAATCAAACAAACATGTTTTCTCCCTGATGTTGTTCACTAATTCCTTCGTGATTCTTGTGCTTCCAACACTCCAAATGCACACACATTACCTTTTTAATTTTTTCAGTACACTTAAAAATATACATTTAAATATATTGTGATATCCTGAAACAGATATAAACAGTTTGTCACTCAGTTGAGTTTTTATTACGGGAAATATATCCAATGAAATATCATCTTTAATGGCTGCCGTTCGACCTTTCGGCCCGCAGGTAAACCTCCCACTGCTTCCCTCTGTCAGACACTCAAAGGTCTGAGGCCGGGGTCTGCAGCCTGTGGCTCCAGTGATTCTTTGAACTTTCCACTATGGCTCTTAAAAACTTTGACATTTTTCTGTTCTTCTTTTTAATCACGATTAGATTAGAAACCATGTCCGTCTTTTAGTATTCTGTCACATAATTGTGGATAAACATAAATATTCCACAGAAGAAAATGCAAACATTCTTTTTTTGTTTTGTTTTGGCAAAAGTTTCTACTAAAATAAAGTATTATTTTAAAACCTAATATTTACAAGTAATTGTAAGGTGTTTTTTGTTTGTTTGTTTTTTTTCTCTCATTTGTGGGTCTGAGCAAATTTCATTTAGCAGGACAGACGTCTAATCAGAAGCTGAAGTGGATATGACGGGAAAACGGACGCCCCTGCTGATCCCTGCATTAAACGTAACGACGGCGTAACAGAGTCTGTTGGCGACTGTGGTGTCCATCATCTTACTGGAGGTGGTTTTTGCTAGCGGTGGAAGGACTGATCAACGCCATCTTTGTCAGGGCGCTTTTCAGTGATAAAATTTCTCCCTTTCTGCAGACTTAACGAGCAGGAGGACTTTACTCATGAAAACAGGAGCGTAAGTGTAAATACACAATTTTCAGTTATAAGTTTTTCTATTCTGTAAAAGAAACTGACTGATTAAGACGACTAATTGCCCCAGGTTAATGTGGGGAAGGAGAGAAAGCCAAAAAAAAATCCCTTCATGGTAGGTGATTTTTAGATCTCCCAGTTGCTTCTATTGAAGACAGCCACACATTCACTTTGAAACTATACGAACCTTGTTTCTATATGAGCTATGTGTGTGTGTGTGTGTGTGTGTGTGTGTGTGTGTGTGTTTAAGATGGGTGAATATGTCAGTGGAAACAAGCTGTAACAGACGTTTTTCTTTCTCCCCTCACACACCACCAGTTCAGTACGTGTACACAAATAATAGAACCAGTGTGAATACCCAGAACAGTGTGATTTGCATGACCCTCTGCAATTTCAGTTCTCTACTTATACATTTATACATGAGCATAATAGGAAACAGGAAATGAGAGACAAGAGAAAAAGGAGATAAAATTATCCACAAACGTCTTCTACAGCTTGTGTGATTAAAACTGTATTCTCTTCTTTAGATTGAAGTTGTTTTCTGCTGGTTTAACCGCGAGACATACCAATTTCAGTTGCAAAAAATTATTTTTCTTATCTGTTTGCAGAAGAACAAAAAGATAAGGAGAATGAGTGTGTGTGTAGGAGCTTACACTGTCAAATCTTAATGGATCTTTTCATTTAGACTCCAGGAATTTTTGGTTTAAGCAGCACAGATCATTTTCTAATTGAAGGCATAAAAAAAAAAAAACAAAGCAAAATGCAACATAAGTTGAAATGATCCACTCATTACTTTCCTTGAACCTTGGTCTCTTACCTCAACATTTACATTGTACATAATGTAAAAACTGCAATGATTCAGTTCTTGTGCTAAATCAAAGAGTCTACACCTACTCCCAGCAGGGTCCCTTCTAAAAACAAGAGCAGAACGAGGTCATGTCCCACTGCTGATCAAAAGCCGCGCCAAAGATAAGAAAAATAACTGAAATCACCTACAAGAACTTTTTTTCATCAAACACTTTCTGCAACTGTACCTCACTATCACCGCACGTTATGTTAGTTTGGCTCCTCAGAATCGGATGAAACAGCTGCACGACGGTGTGAGACTTCAGCTTTTGTTATCCGTTCAAAATGAATCATTGTCAACGTGAAAAAAGTCCCCCCCAAAAAAAAAAGAGAGAGAAAAGGTTTTCTTCTCCTGCGTCAGTCTGCATCAGGCACAGAAAAATACGTGAGCTGTCAGGGATAATCGTCTGACTTGATGACGGCGGTTCAAATTATCGATTGTTTTCTTTTCATGCGTAATTTTCTACACTTACTGTTAATTTTTTTTTTTTTTTTTCACCCCGGACCACTATGCATTCAGAAGGGTTGCATCCACTGATTATTTTAGTTATCATTCTATCGAATAAAAAATTGGCACACCTTGCAGATTTTTAATTTAACCCTTTTCATGCAATATTAGAAATACAAAGACAAATAATTAAACTCCTTCTGTAGATAATAAAATGCACATTTTATTGCCTAACATGCCGCAGCATCGCATTTCTTCAGTGTGTGTGCTTGATCATTTGTAGCAAAGGATGCATCTGTGGAAAGCTGAGCCTTTCTGCTTGACTAAACATCAACAGTGCAGGAATAATCTGTCGATTCATTTTTGTATTAATAACAACTGGAGATTAATAATAGGAGAATTTCTTTAACAGAAATCTAATCAGGTGAAGCTAAAGCTGCCACTTGAGTTCTGGGTAAAACATATTCACCCTTTTTATCTTAAAGTACATATTTTCTATAGTTTTGGCCTGATTACTGCTTTGAGTATATTATTCCTTCAGCAAATGGCCTTCTTCATAGTCTGTGTAACCCAGTTAACAATTAATTGATTACTAAGTTAGTTGGCGATTATTTCAACAATCGTTTAATCCGATTTGCGTTTCAGCTAAAGTGTTCAGTTTTGTCCACAGGTGTAAATGTGCTGCACAAGTCATCGGGTTAGGTGTCATGCTTTGGTTATGAACCGTAGCGCATGAACATTGGCTTTAGTAACAAATTAGGCAGGTTCTAAAAGTTTTTCAATGATTTCAAAAGCAGAGGTGGTTTAACGAAGAGGATTACTGAAAGCTAGGTGAAGTGTTCCCTGAATTCACTCTATAAAGTCAGACAGATTGTCTGTCTGCTACATTTTCCTCTGAATGAACGGATAAAACTTTTAAGATCAGCATTTGGGCCGCCTGATTGAATAACACCATGTGAGTTAAAGGCTTCATGCAGCAAACCTTTAGCTGTCCACCCTGTTTTAGAGACGTTAAGCTGCATAGATAATGCTAAACATTTTAAACAAGACAAACTCTGTAATAATGCATATTATTAAATCTAATTTTTACGCATGTTACATGGAAACTCTATTTAAAACACTCTAAATAAATAGTGCGAACTGAAACAGACCTCGTTCTTTCTGTACTGATGATTAAAATGAGATCTTTTTTTATTTCTTTACAGCTCACTATTGACATGAGAAACACTGAATATTCTGTTGCTAAATGCATACAAACAAAAGAGCTTCATTTGACTTATTTTTGTTATACATTAATTTCCACTTGCTTAAATTTTAGCATTTTATAAACTGACATCTTCAAATTGGAAGAAACATTTTTGAGTGACTCTGTTGAAACTAATGGAGAATCTGTGGAGGTCGCTAAGGTTAGGGTGACGGAAAGGAGGCTTTCCAACGTCAAAGACATATCACCAAAATAGAAGTGGAAGAAAAAAAGCTGAAGGTTTGATTGTTGCAACACCAACATTTTGTTCCACAATCTTGCTTAAAGTGTATAGATATTTTTTTCCCCCATGCTGTTTTTAAATAATGTGTAAATTCACATGGATAAATCTTTGTTTTTTGTTTTTTTAAACTATTTTTACTCAGTTCTTTTGAAATGTAAAGAGATTTGTCCTCCCCCCCCCACCTCTGGGTTGATCATTTGAAATCTAAATCCTCCAAATTTCTGGCCTCCTAGGGGATCTTCATGTCCCTCCACAGGATCTCCATCAGATTCAAGTCAGAAATCTGTCTGGGTCACTCAAAATAGTTATTATTCCTTCCAATCAGAAGAAACGTGTTTGTAAAATTAAAGGATTTTGCTGGATCTAAATCTGTCGGGGTTATCGGTATATAGTTGGAAAAATGAAAACTTATGTGTGGTAACAAAAAAATGAAGTCCGTTTATTTGTACGCATTTAGAAATTGAATATTCAGAATGCTTTCGATGTCAGTAATGAGAATAAGAAGGAAAATAATCCATTTCTGTTGGTGCAATTTCTTTAAAGTGTTTTTTATTATAAATGTGACATGCATATCAATTGTATTTAACTGTAAATGTAGGAAAATCAGACTTTTAGATTAATTAAGTAATAGAAAGATATTTTAAAATCTAGTGAGTTTCTATGCGGTTAGGCCTCAGGTTGTAGGATTACTCACTTTTAAAGCTCTTGTTATACTGAAGGTGTTAGGAACTAAACTAAATGTCTCCTAAAGATTAAACTTTTTGTGTGGATGTTTTTGTCAATGCATAAATGTTTTAACTTTGCATTTTTATAGATATTTTTATTTTGCACAGTTGTGACAGTGTGTGAAACATGACGTACGTGCAGATTTTATTGATTTATTTTCTAATTCTGACAGATTTCCAACAAAGAAACTGAAGAAGTAACAGAAAAGCAACATTTGCATTAAAAACTACTTCAATAAAGCATTGAGCTGTTACTTCTTGGAGGAGGAAAAAAAAAGTCTTACACTTTTTTATAGATTGCTTTAATAAAACAAAACAACGTTCCAGGTAAATGTTTTCTTTTTGGTGCTGAATGAAGACGATGGAAACTCACAGCAGCTCTTTTGGGATCCAAAAGGCAGAAAAGACGACTTGTTTTAACTTGTTTAAACTTATAATTAAAGACGTGGATTTGGCCTCGACTTGGAACTGCCGTGCAAAGATCCGCACCTCATCACTGGTACCCACCTCTGGTGTGGTAGTTCACACCAGCACACCTCCTCACACCCCAGTAACGAGAGCGTCCCGCTGGGACCCCTTGAAGCGGACGGCCTCCCTCGTGCTGCAGGAGCAGCGACCCGGCGGCCCAGTGTGCCGGTAACGGACTCCTGCCTTGGAGACACACTCACATGGCAACAGGTCCATCCTGGCTCAACACATCAGTCTGTGCTGGTTGAGCTTTTGAGGTTTGGACTCTCCCTTTCTGCTTTCACCACCAGAGTATGACAGAGAGAGGCCCTGCAGCATGTGGCGATGGGCCGGCTCAATCAATAAGATGGATTTAAAGTGAGGGTCGCTGAGAAGATTAAACTATTGCTGTGATTAGTTATATCGTTTCAGTTAATTTTTTTTTTCCCTCTCTGCAACATTTGTAGGAACTCACATCAGTCCCTGATTTTATCGATGAATCAAAATGTCTGGATTTTGAAAATTTAATTATTGGAAAGTTGTGATTCTCCAAAACAAATTCTGATTTTTGCACTTCTTGGGTTTTCATAGTTCCGAGTGATGTCAGAACGCCCTCGGCGGCCATCTTGTTTGACAACTGTGTGTTACAGCGACTGTTTATTTGGACTTTGAATTAAGGTCAGCTCTGCGACCAAGAATTAGGGCCAGACTAAGATTGTTTGGTATTGTTTTCTCACTATGTGAATGAAGTCCTATTTTTAAATTAAAGTGTGAAATGTTGAAAATCTCATGAAATTATACTTTATAGATAATACTTACCATTATAGAAATATTTCATCTTTTAACACATCGGAAACAAATCATCAGTAAAAGGACTCAGAAATGATTGTGCAAAGAACTGAGCTTGTCACGTCAGATAACTATTGAAGCTTTTTTCTCATTTAAACAAATGTTTTCTTGTAATTCTAAGATGGTTTTTTTCTGGTAAAATTGCATCTTCATTCTGCTAATATTTCAACTCAACTCAGAACTAAATAAACATTCTCGTAACCGGGCCGTAACACTTCGCCGTGCAACTCAAAGAAAGGTGATGGAAATAGAAGCCACTTTCTGAAAGTATTTTCTGTCATTTGTAATTTCTATTTTAGAGAAGAAAGCAAGAAAAACCTTGATTTAAATTGGCTGTTATAAAAAATAAATACACAAAAAACTTCATGTTATTTTTAAGCCATATCCTCCAGCTCTCCCCCAACATTTAGTGAGTTGATGTAAACAAGTCTGAACCCCAAACACTTCAGTCCGACGGCCCTCATCGCTGCAGCTTTCCTCAAAATGAAGGCTGGAAAAACTGCCACAAACATACGAGCGAGCGGCTCAGCCTCGACGCAGCGTCTCGCTCCAGATCAAACGAGAGGACTGAGACGGCACGCCAAACACCGGAAAGCTCCCTGATCCAGTCCTGCATCCGCTGGATGAGTTTGAGTCTTTCCTGCTTTATGTCATCAACTTGCTGGCTGACGAAGCCTGAGCCGAAAGAAGAGAAAGGAGGACAGAGAGGAGTAGGCACAGAGAGAAAAAGATAAATCTGTTGCTCTTGTGTTGCATGAAGCGTGGCCGTGAGCCACTGCCAACTCTCTGAAGTGCATTCGGAGTGGTCAGCTTCACAAGAGCTTCAGAATGTCCTCGGTTATTTAATTAGAAAATCCAAAAAAACTCTGAAGTTGAACTTTGAGGCTGCATTTCGCAGTGATAATTTAGGAGCAAAACACTTCATCCCCTAAGGAGAACCAACCATACCCAACGGTAATTGTTGCAGTGCTGCTATGGCATGTTGGTTTTCTTTTTTTGTGTGTATGGTTAAAATACAGTGTCGGGTAAAAAAGCTGAAGATGAAAGTGGATTTTATTTGTCAGTAAAAACAAAAAAAGCTTCGCCAAAAGGGAACTGAACTGAAGATGAAGAAGTCTCCAAAGGATTTCCGGTGTTATCGTGAAGCATCTTCTAAAATGTTCTCACTTTTTCATTAAATAAGTGTATAAACAAAATAAACTGTATTCTGCTGAATCCTTTCCAAAAAGTAAGATTGGTTGCAAAACAACACAAACAAAAGAAAACCATCCACATGTTGAAACATTGGGGACGGCAGCATCATGCTGTGGGGTCACAGCCTCCTGCACAAGATGCCTCGTTTTAAGATAAACAGTTTTGACCTGAAGTGTTTTATCTTTCACCAGGTTTTATTTAGAAATTATTACACTTGTATTGCCTTATTTTATCCTATTTTTTCGTTTCCTATCTATTTTCCCATTCAATATTTACTCAGTCTGTTCATAGAATACTTTTTATTATTAAATCATGAAATGTTATTGGCACCTGAATGACAGACAACTCCTAATGTATGTCTTGTTTTATAACAACGATGTTAAAGTTAGTTCTTGAGATGGAAGTGTTATTTTTTTGTCTTTTTTTGCCAAGGTGGTTGGAATTATAAACAGCTTTGATATCATTTTTCTTTTACCCCAAACCTTCAAGATATAATTAGAAAGCTGAAGATAAAATCAGATTTCATTTGAAGCAAAGCACACAGAGCCTTTCAAAGCCTTTCTGAATTGATGAGTTTCATAATCTTCTTCACAAATATTTAAATGTAAAACTTAAAACAAACTTTTTTTTTTGAATAAAGTTAAACTTTTGAGTTGCCGTTTCAAACAGTGAGCTGGGTGCAGGAGGCTCACACTCCTCCGCCTGAGAAGACTTTTGTTCAACTATCTCTTTTTTTTTTGGGTCACATAGTTTTATGATTCTCAGAATGTTCTTTAAACATTGTAAGCAATATTTGCTATGTGCACAAATTTATCCTGTGCAACTTTTGTTGCTCAAGTCAAGATTTTTACCTACCTTACCAAACTTGGTAGAGTTATGAGAGGGCTGTGGACAAGAGATGTCCTCACAATCTAATAGCTTTGCAGAAGTTTTGTAAGGCAGTGTGAGCAAATATTGCCCAGTCAAGATGTAACATGTTGAAAAGCCATGTGAAAGCACACTGATTGCTGTAATTAAACCAAAAGATGATTTTAGCAAAGTAATACTTTGAGGGTGTGCGCAATCATGCAAAATGGTTATTACCGCTTTCTGTTTTTCCACTCGAATTCATTTGTTTTTAAGACAAATAATCCACATTGTGGACCAAAAAAAAAAAAAAAAGCGGTGAAATCGTTTTATTATTTGATCACGAAAGCTAAAAGCATACACATCGTTTCAGCCTCTTTGGCTGAAACGACGGTCAGTCGTAGCTCGCAGAATCCTGTCCTGAATTAAACATCGACTGGACACGCTCGACGAGGAGACGTCTGCACGTTCGTCCCAGGATGTTAGCAAGTCTGATCAGACGCCACGCCGCATCCCGACCTCAATATCAGCTTTAGCAATCAGCCCAAAAGGCAATTGAGGGGGTTCGGGGGAGGTTATTGTGTCTCTGTAAGAGTTCAAAGTCATCCTTGCGTTATCATCATCCTGCTGCTGCTTAAACACTAACATATTTCGCTTTAAGTGCTTTGCATGTTGAAGGGGACGGTGAGCTGTCTGCCTGAGAGGCACAAGCCTCTCCAAAGTATTTATGAAGAACTAAGAACTCGCAGTTCCCAAGAAAAAGCAGAGCAGTTTATTTAATTGAGTAACTGTCAGGCTTATTTTTTGGTGTTATCTCCTTCTGACTGAACATCAAAACAGTCAGAGTTGCATAGCGGAAAATGTGAGTCATTACGTTTTAGATGAACAATAAAAGTAGAGAGCATATAGCTAAGCTTCATATCAAAAAAAAAAAAAAAAAAAATCAGGTGTTCCTCAAGGGGCAATGAATAAAATAAATATTTTTATTTTTGTTTTTTGCGGCTATTTGGAACATTTTTAACGAACCTGAATTTTTGTGGCATCACTTCAGACAATAAAAATGTTATCTTCTATTTAAAAATATTTTGCTAAAGACAGAAAACTTTCACAGATGAAAATCAGGCTGTGAAAATAAGTCAGAGGACATTACCGACATGAGGAACCGTTTAGAAATATCGTGTGTTGCCAAAACAAATCAAAGCGAAAAGACGGAATAATGCTTGGCAGCATTCAACAACAATCAAGCAAAAAAAGGGAAGAAAACTACGCTGATATTTCTGCGCAGTTAATCTACCTTTACTTCTGAAGAATCACATTATTAATCTGATTTGATCACAACTTTCACATTCACATTTATGCTAAGAAATACAAGACTAATCAAACAAAGCAGTTCCAAACACTCATAAGTCTAGCAAAAGGAGAAAACAAACTGTGAGAAACCAAATTAGGATGAATGAAATCAGTCAGTTTGAGGGGAATCACCTAAAAGGTTTAATTCAACAAAATTCTCAGTTAGACTGAAACTTGCTGGGCCCTGAACAAGTCGCTGAGTACAATACATTAGTCAAGGACACAAAAAAAGAGAATCATAATAATAATAATAATAATAATAATAATGTGTGCCGAAAATAATTATACTGTGTTGAGAATGTTTTCAGTTTGTGCTAAAAACGTTTTAAATAATTTTTCAGTCCAATCTTGTCTAAAACCGTCACAATTTACAGCTCTGAACTCTGTGTTCTCTGGGGGTGTGTGTGTGTGTGTGTGTGTGTGTGTGTCTGTGTGTGTGTGTGTGTGTCTGTGTGTGCCAGGGAGTTCACCTAAAAGGCAAAGAGAAAAGGAGGACTTTTATTTATAAAGTGTAGTATTGCTCCGTGTCATGTGAGAATGAGATCACCAGAACCAAAGTCCAAGCACAGCAACTTCAGGAACTGACAAACACTGAAGAGACTGAACCCAAAGCCAGCAAAAAAATAAAAAGTAAATAAAAATATTAATAGAAATTTTTCTTTCAAATAAAATAAAATAAAAATGTTTTCACAATTATTAATTTTTTGCACAATTTTAGCTCGAGTCTCAGTGTGTTATTCTCAGTCTCTGCTGTGTCCCCACATTCACTTATAACGTGAAACAATGAAGGGTAAAACCCATTTGTGGCTGAGGTGAGAAGGAAAGAGGATACAAGAATTTGCACTTTTATCAACAACGGAGAGGTGAAACTTCAACACACCGGGTGTCCAGTGTGTGGACACGCACGTGCGCACACACGCATGGACGCAATCCTGCGTGTGTGCAAGGAGCGGGGTTGGGGGGGGGAGGACAAGTGCAGGTGCTTTCTGTGACCATCAAGGTGACTTCAAGCATCTTTACGGTTATGACTGTGGTATGCCAGCTCAAAAAAAAAAAAAAAGGTATCAAGCGGTGAGGCTGTCACTCATTCATAATGAAATATGACTGAAAGCGAGAGTGTCGCATAGAGAAGCAGGGGTGAAGGCGGAAAGAGACATTCTCGGGGAAGGAAGACGACGGTTGACAGGTTGTAGAAAAGGGGGAAACTTCCAGCAGAGTGAGTAAGAGTGAAACCTGTCAATAACCAATCATCTGCTGCACACGCTCTGCAGCTCACTGAACAGTGACAGCCAGAGAGCACAGCACAGAAACGCTCTGTCCATCCAGCAGCTTTTCCTCTTTAGGCTTGGGCGAACCGATCTTCAGCGATCAATAGGACCAAGTAGAAGTTGGCAGAAGCAACAATTTCCTTCAACTCAAAGTAAAATAATAAAAAAATACTTAAATCCCTGCAAACATTGAGTAAAGCAGAACGTGTGTTTCTCTGCGGCTCGTTTGTCAGATTGGATGTAGCTTCTGAAAATAAATACCTTTAAGCAGGTATTAGACATACTTTTCATTGAGTCCACATTTCTGAATTTTTTCTTATTAGCATTTTATATATCCAGTTAATTTTATTGATCTAATGTAGTATTATAATCTTAAAAGTTTATTAGCTGTAGACAGGGAAAAAAAATCATCATAATCAACAGAAACAAGGAATGAAGATTCATTTCTGTGAGAAATTAATATTTCACTTAGTAAATTGAGATTAAATAATATGCAGAAATAAAATTAGGTATTATTTAATAGAGCCATATATATATTCTTTTCAAAAAATATTTCATTTTACTGTCTTCAAATGTGCAAAAGAAACCCCAACGTGGCAAAAAATTAAAAAACTGATGCAATCTTCTCGTCTGATTTCAACACTGCTGGGTTGTGAATAGGACTAAGTATGTGTAAGACGGAGAGATTGTAAGAGTGTGAAAGTGTGTGAATTTCTATGATTGTCTGTGTGTAACAAGCGGCACTCCCACTAGCAGCAGGTGTGTCCAGGGTAGTTTCCCCTGACATCTCTGCATGGACAAAAATGGTGTCCATCTGCCAGCACGCCCAGCAACAAGCCTGCTGCAGCTTCTTTTGCACACCAACCCTGTTGGGAAGTGGTGCTGTGGATGCTGTTTCCAGCTGTATCATCCTGCCAGATCACCTATGACTTGTCTGTGTGTTCTTGGTTATCGTCATCTGCTTTTCCACGTCTCAAAGCAGCTTGGAAAAGATCCAACTGGTCAAGTGAATTTAAACAGCCCCACTTTACTGAAAACAGACATTGTTCAGCTGAGAAAACAGCGACAAACAAAACCGTCTGGGGTCCATGAGTCATCAGACTAGGAGTTTTCTTCACAAGGCCATAATTAACTAAAATACAGAGACGGATCAATATTTATTCCTTTCCCCAACTTTTTTCAACCATAAATAAGTAACAGTGAGACTCATTTCACAGAGACAGGCAGACTGAATTTCCCAGCAGACTTTGTGACATTTTATATTTTAAATGTTTACATTTTTCCCTATGTTCACTTTCAATTTTTAATAAAGTGTAATACATATTTTTTTAAATTCATATTTGATCATTTCTGTGGGTTTTGGGAATAATATGCTGGGAAAAGTAGATGAAAGTGAAAGATTAACTATCAGGTGTTTAAGGTGAAATTATGTTGACAAAAATTATTGGCAAAATGAAAAGTAGTCAGAAATGAAAAGTAGTCTGAAATATCAGAAAATAGACTTGAACTAAAGAGCAAATGGTCTCTTCTGGAAGAACAGATAGACAGTACCCACTAATATAGGGCATCCTGCTGGTGTATTGTATCGTTTGTCATTTATCATGATACATTTCTTATCACAATAAGATTTACATTTTTTATTGCTGTGATAAATTCCCATTAATGATGCTTAAAACCCCCCAAAACTCTCTATATTGTTGGGATTGTTAGTTTTACTTTTTGCCCCACTGCTTTTTAAATGAGAGAAAATTCACTGACAGCCTAAAAGAAGAAGTAAAAATAGCCTCAATAGAACCAAAAACACAACAGTACCACAAAATATTGTGATAAAATATTAAGTCCATATCTCCCCTCCCCATACATTCCCTATGCATAGAGACATATTTAGTTCCACTGCAGGTTTATTTATTTTTTTAAAAACTCACAAGCTTCACAAAACCCTGCTGCAGAAACACTCCACACCTCTTGATCTGATCTGTCTGACCTACGGCCCGTGACTGCAGTACGTTGCACAAGAGCGGTGCAGTGTGAGTGATAAAGAAGACGACGTGTTTTTGGTGATAGACAAGAGGCCATCTTGTCCTGCGAAGGAGCCGGGACATGTTCATGCTCATAGTCATCCAGTGGAAAAATCCAAGCCATTAATCATCCAACTGAGAGGAGCAACCGCTCAAAAGGGGAAGAAAATGTGACAAATCTCTTGTTTTAAGCACTCCACAAAGTCTTTGAAGCAGATTAAAGCTAAGTACAATCCACTGTCAGAATCCCTTCTGACTGTAAAAGACCAAGAAGAGTTCATGAAACAACCAACGACCAACCAGGGGGCACCTGAACTTTCTCCAACACTTTGATTTGACATTGCCGCCCATCGCATGGGATGCTTCTGCTTTGCAAACACACGCACACACGCACACACAAGACCAGGCTTACTCACCCAATGAGAGAGACCATCTGCTCCACAATGTGCTTGCTGAAGGTGATGATCACAAACAGTTTCTGTATGACAAAGAAGCACACAGAGAAGGAACGAGTCAGTTACTGAGCCATAAGGGTCGCCGCTGGGGTGTTGAACAAGGCGCTGTGTGTGCATCATGGTTTGACCGGTAATAACACCCCCGCTCACCCACCCCCAATCACTCCTCAACCACCACCATGAGACGCTTCATCATGCCCAAACCCATGCCTTGTTAGGCTAAAGTGGTTTTGGTGAAAGCCGGCAAGAAATTTGGTCACGCAGGGCGAGAAATGAAAGGCCTCGACTGGGTGACACATCGCCAACACAACGCACCGGGTCAGCGTTTCAAAGAGGCTGTCATCAGAACTTTAAGAGAGAGTGTGTGTGTGTGTGTGTGTGTGTGTGTGTGTGTGTGTGTGTGTGTGTGTGTGTGTGTGTGTGTGTAAGGAACACAAGGACAGAGGAGTGAAGGAATCAAAGGTGATGTGTCACTGCTTCAGAGGGGGGTCTGGATTCGGTTCCTGTCCAGCTTGATTGCTGCTTAGTCACCAAGGCAGCAGGGGAGAAGAGTCAACTGGAGACTGTAGCGGCCATCTTGGCTCGGACGCACTGCGCTTGGTGGCATGTCGGGGGATCAGGGGGTCTAGAGCAGGCACATAGTAACTGGCCTCATTTTGGAGAGTCTGCTACTTGTGTGAGAAAACCAAGAGTTATTCTAGTTTTTGCTCATTATGGACTTTTTTTTTTTTTTTAGAACATAGTGCTAGAAAATAAAATAACATTTTATATTAATGCCCAAGCTAAGAAATGTTCAACTTTGGTGTGGTTATTTTTAGAGAAAGTGAAAACCTTCATAGTGATCGCCCCCCCAACATATATATATATAAAAATTAATAAGATTGCACTCTCTGTGAAACCCTTCAGTAGCAGCAATATCACTATTATTCTCCTTTATTTTCAGGAAAATTAGAAAATATGCATTTATAAAGGAGACTAAAAGTGTTTCTGCCTTTATTTGCATCTTTACATTGAAAAACTTGCTTGGTTGATGTTTCTGGAACAACTCTTTTAAGTAATTTATTAAAAAAAAAATTCGACTCACTCTTGTCAAGTTCAAGGAAAATACAATGTTGCCCAAACGGGACATATCAGATAAATACTTCAGCTGCCATCACTTTAAGTTATCTTATATGCTGACTAGTCAGAGGCTATAAAAACTGCTTATATGTGAACCAGAGCTCTTGCATTTCTCACAACTCGTGTGCAACTCAACACAACGGAAGATCAATGGTAATTATAGGCAAATACATTTTGAGTGACATAATTATGTTTATTAACTCTAAAAACTGTTTTAATAACTCCTACTGAAGGAGAACAATAAATACGTAGAATTCAAAATTGCTGAGCTCAGATAAAGCCGACACAGTGCGATGCAGGTGAATAAACAGAAGTACGGTAACCGCGGCAGCGAGCTCAGTACCAACGATCACGCTACGCATCACTCAGCGCCGGCTTGCTGGGGTGGCAATTTTAATTTCATGTGACAGGGCGCTTTGATCAGTTCTTTGTTACAGTGTTCTCTCCCCGCTTATGTAACATGTAATCCAGGTCATCCATGTATTGTCGTATGCGTGTCCCGCTCTTTGTGTGGCTGTTAAGCTTCTGTGTGTGGCCGTGGGTTAAACAGAACCGAGGAGAACACACTTTCTACATAAAACAATACGGTCACTGTTAACTCCTTGTCACTTATTGGGCTTCCTCGCACTGTAAGAAGTAATTTTAGGGGTGTGAAATATTGGCAGGTAATTTTATTTAGTTTAAATCAAACTAAATTTGACTAGGATTTAACTGATGATGTTCGGTCAACTGTTAATTACATCTTTGCTGTGAAAAGGGAAATGTTTACGCGTTTAGGACTATTTCTAAACACGTGAACTTGTCCTCCATGTTTAATAAAGACATGGAGGACATGACAGATGACTTCAGGGTAGAAATAAAGAAGGTGTTCATAATTTTGCTGGGGCTGCAACAAACGATTATTCTACTAATCAATTAATCTGACAACTAATCAATGCACATTCTGTTGATTTTTTGTTTAACCACTTAAGTCTATTTTACAGAACATTAGAAATTCATTAAGACAGGCAAATGACACATATTTAAATTCATTTTTAAGTAAGAAAAACATTTTATTGCCTATAATTCAGTAACATCACTGTTTTAGTTTCTCTTGATTATTTGATGCATCTGCAGCTCAAAAAATATTTCTAACAAGATGTGAAAAGCTTGGCCCTTCCTGCTTGACTTAACAATAATTAATTCATTCTTAATAAATACAGTGCATTTGATATGATGATTCATTTTTGGATTAACGTATTAGTGATTAGACAGCAAAAGGTGCTTAAGAGGAGACCTTTTTTTTTTTTTTTAACAGAATCTGAGCCAGGGGAAGCTGAACTGCTGCTAGAAAACTTCTGGGTCGAACATATTTACAGACAAAGAAGATTTCTTTTAAATGCAAAACGCTCGTCTTGACTAACTTACTGATTTTTGGTCTTACACCAAATGTCCTCTTTTGAGTTTGTATTCTCCAGTTAGCAGTTAATTGATTACTAATTAATTAATCACAATTAACTCGTTTGCTAGAGCATTTAAATCATGAGACGCACGATTATAAAACTTCTAGCTGCTGAACTCACACAATCTCTACTTAAAACTCCTGGTCAAATTCATCTGAATTAAATACACGCATTTTTCATTTTATTTTTTTAAACAAAGTCAACTGACTAATTTCTAACTGGTTGTTTTCACAGTGTAGAAACGCAGTAATTCACTTGATTAAAAGAACTGATTTTGGCTTTCCTGGTAGTCCAACGAGCGCTGACACATGATCCATCATCTGAGACAAAAGGAAGGAGGAAGAGACAGCAAGATGGCAGGAAAGCTGACTAAGATCCCCAGAATTGGTCTGCCAGGAAAGTGATGACATTGTCTTGACTCGCTACATTCTGCTAACTGATAATGTCAACAAAAGACACACACACACACACACACACACACACACACACACACACACACACACACACACACACACACACACACACACACACACACACACACACACCATCTAACCAGGTGATATCAACTCCTGGCTGTTTTCGACATGTTCCAGCAGCCCTGACCACACATGTATACACAACAAAGTAAGAACAGTGGAAGTGTAGCATCTTTTCCTTCTGTCTCTGCCACACCTCGCAGTTTGTGCTCTCAGGAACAACCACCTGTCCCAGGGGTCCAAAGTGTGCATTTCAGTGACATCACCACTGATCCTCAAGTGACCCGCCGCGTCACAAAGCTGGTGACATTGGCCACTCAGCAGCACGCATTCAGAGCAACAAAAGACGGAAGTAGTGCCAAATAAAATAAAAAAAAAGCAAAGCAAAAAAAAACCCAAAAAAAAACCCCACCTCAGTCCTTAGAGACGGGTGAGGACACACCTGAAGCACAGGTACAAAGATCAAACGTACGCTTTGGAGTATACAGAAACACACACACGCACACAAAAAGTCTCAAAATCCCCTTTTGTTTCCTCTTGGCCTAGAAGTGAGCGCGTCACCTGCTCTGCTGTAGGGTTTTTTTTTTCTGCCCACACTGTAAATGACTGAACAGTTCTCACTGGAAGCAAAAGTTGAGTTTGAAGTAAATTAGACCGAGCAGCTACAGGACAGACCGGGCCCCCAGGCATGCCGGAGAGCCGGGACAAGTCTTTCTTTCCAAGAGACAGAGAAGGACACACCTCTACCAGTGGGGGGGCCCCAGGGACCCCTGGGTGAAATCTGGTCCTGTATGTGTGATTATGCTTGCCCCACACGCATCTCTCCCCCCGCGTTCCCCTCACCCCATCTGTCCCCCTCTCCTTCTCTTTCTCCATCACCTCCCACCGGCAGGCCACGTTTATGTGCCGTAACGTGTGCTTGCTGCAAATTTGCACCTCTTTTCTTGTTCAACTAAATTTGGTGAGGGACGACGCTGCGTGCCTGTGCTTAACCCCTCCTGTGCGTCACCACGGGCACATTCCCCGAGTCTGCTTAGAAAACAAAACGCTAAGCTCCTGACGCTAATCACGGACATACTGCAAATTCCTGGACGCAAATTGAGGATTTTCCAGGATTAGATGAAACATTAGTAATGCCAAAATTTCCCAACTGTAGTTTCTTAGTCAGCTTTGGGAGACTTTCCTGCGAGTTCCCTGCTGTACAGTACGCAGGGTCTGCTGCTGCAGCTACAAAATGGTCGACAGCCCTGCCTGTGCTTCACAAAATGGCCTCCCTGTGAGCAGCTGCTAGTGCAAAGATGCTGGAGCCTGACAGTGAGTCCTTGCATAACACAGCTGTCTGTTACGACCATATGAAGGACATATGTTTAAATACAAATAAAAGACAGAATGCAGGAAACGGTCCAGAAGAAGACATGCCAGAAGCTTCTTTTAGAGGAGTTACAGGAGAGACGGAGCAGCTCACCTGAATGTGCATCTTGATCACAGCCTTTCCAATCAGCGTCGCACCAAAAAACGTCCAGAAGGGGACCAAAAAATGTCCGCACGTTAATCCGGCCAGGTCGAACAACGGGTTCGGGATCTGAGGGAGGAGAAGGTGTGATTTTAGACCGATTGTTTCGGTTCTGCACAGGAAATAAAACAACTGAGAGTGAAGTATTTCTGTTTGCTAGATCTGCTTCGTGTCTGTGTTCCTCTGATTAAAATGGAGTGTGTGTAATTGTGCCAGCTGCACTGTCAGAGAAAGGTGATTTTTTTTAAATTTATTAAATTTTTTTTAGACTCACAGAGGCGCAGGCTAAAATCCCAAAGAAGCCGACCTTCTGGATGAGCTTCTGGACGGCTACTTTCGCTCGGGATCCAAAATCCTGAAAAATAATTTTAAAAAAAGAAAATAAACTGAGAAAGGTGTGTTAGGATTTTACATCACATCGTTTGTTCAATTTATAAAACAGAGAGCTTTTTCTTCAGGGAATAGGTTAAAAAAATCTTGCTTTTTGTTCTACAGTTTGATCCACATCAGCCTGAGATTAAAGAAAAAAAGCGTAATTTTTCAAACTGCTTATATGTTTGATGCAATATCCAAAAAAAAAAAATTGTGTTCATCAGAAAATAAGTTTGAACCAGTGTTGTTCTTCCAGCTGCTGAAAGCCTCATTAACCAAACAGTTATGTTGTTTCATCATTTTTTTTTCTGACTCTGTAGCCCAGAAAGTTGGAATGAAATATTTCTTCCTCTCCCCCAGAAATGATGCGGCAAGGTGTTTTAATTCTTGTCAAATAAAACATCGTCTCAGAGTTTTATTACTCAAGCTCTTAAAAATGTATCACAGTGAAAATAGAACCAAACAAAAAAAAAAAACAGAAATTTGTCCAATTTACTGGTCAATCCAGGTATAAAGTGTGTAAAGAATAAATTATGTGGCAGAGCAATAAGCAGATTTATGTGAGAGGAGGGTGTGAACAAGTCTGCTTTTTAATTCCTGTTTTTGCAGAATGATTGGAACTAATGATTTCTGCCTTTAAAAAAAATGCA